TTTTTCTTTTACCATCTCTGCTTCTGTTTTATTAGTGTGTAAAGCCAAGTTTCTTTATTGTGCATTGTTCTATTTGTATTGCATATTTCCAGCATCTTCAGCATCAACAATGAACCCAGCACCTGAAGCAGAGCAAGCATGGCCTCAGAGCAGTGGGGAGGAAGAGCTGCAGCTCCAGTTAGCTCTGGCCATGAGTAAAGAAGAAGCGGAGCAGGTAAGAGCAAAGGTAATTATCGTAGGGCTCTTATTACTTAATATCAAAACATTATTGTTTTATTACAAATATCTTGTCCAAAATGTTTTTTAATGTTTTTAAAAGGTGTGTGTGTGTTTTGTTTTTTCTTTTTGTATTATGTTGATTATGATATTATATATAACAAACTGTGTCCAGAAATGCTGTGAACATATATTGTATGTTTGTTTTTGTTATGCAATCCATTAAAAAGTCCTCCAATTTTTATAATGTTTTGTAAACTTTAACTCAAACCTGTGGACATGAATACATAGCTGACATTGTAAGCTTCTCAGCACATATCTTCCATTGCAGGCTTTGTTCCCCCAGAGCTACTTGGAGTTCCAGTGACCTTTCTCCACTAGCAATGAAGTTTTGAGATTTAGATGTGCTTCATCCCACAATTCCGTGTCCCATCCTTTAAAGACCTATCAGTAGGTGTGGCATTGCCATGTGGGAGGCAGCTGTGTACCTGTATTTATGCTAATTTGAGAAAATGGCATAGGTATAGCTGATCTGCCAGAGCTCCATGTTGTGCTGGGGAGCAAAGCCTGTAATACAAAGGTATATGCAAACAGCCTATACTATGCTAGCGTGGGCAAATGACTGCTCAGGTTCCCTTTATGGTATGTAAGAACTTTCTTCTTTTTTTTTCCCCTCTATCTTTGTGGTTACTGTATGGCATACTCTGCAGCAGGTGATTTTGTAAACTCAGTGGGATAAGCCTAAGCTATAGACGTTCTCTCAAATGCTGTGATTAGGTTGGTATTTGGGAGTGCATGAATGTACATTATACATGTGGTTGAACATGTGGCTGAACCTCCCAGTGCTGCTTACCGGGGGAAGTTTTGGGTAAGGATGCTGTCTTTGCCAATGGATCGGAAAAAGAAACTTATGAGATATAAATGTGGAGGCCGCCATTGCTGACCACCGCTGAAAATATTTTCTGTCTGCTTTTGATGATCTAATCGTGCCAATGCATTGTGATTGATCTGGTTCGAGTATGGAGATGGACTTTTTTTTTTTTGTGTGGGTTTTAGCTCTGTGACTAGGAAAGCATTGAAGCCAGAGCCATCTCAGAAACTGTGTTGGTAAGAGTTCAGCAGTGGCAGTCCAATTCTATCGTTTCTCTTTTGACAGGTGTTTTGTAAGATAAATCCATAACAAGAGAAACATGGGGGCTGCCATTGCTGACCTTCTGAAAATCATAGTTGCCTGGAAGCTGGTCCAGAGGTTTCTGGCCCATTGACAAAGAACAAGTCAGGAACTTGTTCTTTATACAAATCAGGAAAATCAGTGAAGGGTCCAAAGTCATCTGCAACCTTGTTTTGGGTCATTCACTCAAAGCTAGAGCATCTGTGCAACAGCCAGTAATCTAGCATTTTCAGATGAAGGCCAAGTATAGCAGCCTCAGTTTCTCATGACAGATTTACTTTAAATTCTACTTGTCGCAAGAAAAATATTTGTGCTGCCATTTTTTTACTTTCTGAAAGTACTAGTTTGGCTGGCTATATCTGGCTTCTGGACATTGAGAGTCACAAACTTGGAACAAACATCAAGTAAATAGGTCAGGAAGAGGCCATACCTCATTATCTCTGTGGTTGTCCCAGGTTAAGTGACTTCAAGTATTAATGAAAACTAAGCAACTTTCATTGTCCGAGGAAGTGGTAGCCTCCATCAGGCTTCTTTCATTACAGGGGATAAATATGGGAATTGCCATAGAAGATCTGGCATTTATACTGTACGTGCAGGCTTTGGGGGGGATCATCCTGATCCTTTCACTCATGCATGCGTTTCTTTTTTAGAATGTTTTTTTTTTTTCTTTTTTACTGACTTGCTAACTGGAAACTCAGAATCCTAATAACTCTGAGGCCTGAAAGATAGCAGTGGCAGCTCCCATAAAAGATTTCTGCATAGTTTCCCTTTAAAGTTTTAATAATTATTTTACTGTTTAGCATTATTTGTTGTTGGATTTGCAGACACGCTGCTTACGTGCAAAATTAAAGCTGCTTTCAAGGTTATTGTACAGTCCAGCCAAAACTGGTCTCCAGATTTAGAAGGATACTACAGACATGGGGCATCCGCTGGCTTCTTTGAAATGTCCTAAACAATTGAATGTTGATTTACCTTCCTTGGCACGAGTACTCAGCCATTTTTAGGGATGGCTCAAGTCATTCCCACAAAAGTTACTTGCTGATCTACTGTTTCCTGGAAATGGCCAAAACCTCCCCATCTGGGCTATGGTTTTCCTTAACACATGACATGGTGCACATGGAAGAGCGTCTTAAAGACCTCTGAAAAGCCTAGTTTAGTCTCTTTGGGAAAAGGCTGTTTTAAATCCCCCCCACCCCCCCCCCTTC